TAGACAAAATCTTATTTTAATAACTTTGAATGTTAATTGGGTGACAAAATAACAGAAAACACACTGCCAGTTGTAAGAGCTACTCTTGGTAAACAACTTAAGTGGGGATAAAAAGTGACAACAGGATCAAGCCATATGTCAACGTACTTTTAGGTGATCTGGTCCACATTCAAGCTCAGGTCCCCCATCTGCAGTATCCATGCAACAGTATCTGTTTCCTGTTAAAGTATTCTTGGAATATAACTTGATAGAAATACATACGGAGACTTTTCTTTTAGGCAGTTTTTTACACTAAGAGGATGGACGTAAGACAAAAGATATTTTTGAGCTGTATATTTTCTAGAGAATTCAACCCTCTCACACCAAAATGACTCACAAACCTAAAAGTGACATGACACTACGTGATGTGACATCTAGACTTGTTCAGAGTTGCCGTTGTCACATGCACTTCTTAACAGCTTTTAAACTGTGTCTTTAATCAGTAAGCTCCTTCATAAAATCATTCATAACCATTTACTGTATTTGTTTCTTGTTTGTTTGATTTAAATATTTTTTGGGGGCGTTTCTTGCCTTTAATCTATAGTGACAGCTGAAGAGTGACAGGTAAGGGGGGAGAGAGAGGGGATGACACGCAGCAAAGGGCCGCAGGTCTACCAGCTACCAGGACGCCCCCGGTATTTGTTTTGTTTTCATTTTGCCAGAGCAACAGAAGGAGCTATAAGCCAAAGCTAAAAGCTATAGAAAAAACATACTGTAGTTGCAAGTGTAACAAGTCATGACTCAGCACAATTCCTGCCATAGAATCGTCCACTAATGTAACATTAGTGCTTTGTTCTCTTAACTTTTGCGGAATTGACGATAGGAGGAAATTAAATAATCATATCAATGTTTTAATTAACTTTCCAGAACAGTGGATTGGGGCACTCACAGTGGTTGCTGATAAGAGAGAAGAAAGTACTACTTTTTTTTTCTCAGCTGCTTAAAGGGTTCAAGCTAGAGTTAGACCAATAAATCAACCAGGCCGATATATATACACACACACATACATATATCCTGTTGTGTGTATGTCGGCCAATAAGTAACAAGAAATTACCAAATTACCAAATTAGGTGTGAGGTCATTTAGAAACAGTGTCACCATTGCATAGTTTGTCCACCAGAGAGCACTGACAAGTTGATTTTTCAACTATAAAATGTCCTAAAGTATGCTGACACACGCACACTAAAGAATCCAAGGGATCCATATTAAGATTGTTTGTTTATATAAAAAAATATATATTTTGGGTCAATATATAATTTTTTGATTTTTAAACCTCTAAATATCGATATCAGTATTGTCCTCAAAAATGAAGTATCAGTTGGGCTATAGTTCAAACAACTATCCTCACTCTCATCACAACATACTTGGATTTACTTTTCAGAGAATTTAAAGCAGTTGTAATTGCATAACGCGTTTTCAATTTGAGGGTGTGTGTGTGTGCGTTTGTGTATTTGTGCATTTGTGCGTGCAAGTTCATGGCTCCGCTCTACTTTCAGTCTAATTATCATAATTATTTGCAGTGATGATAACCATATCACATCTGGCTGTTATGGGAATTAAATTTCATTCAACAAAAATACTTTTTTTCTGTCTGTGTTATCTAACAGCGTGCTAATCAAAATAGTGTGGCAGATATTCTCTCTGTGCATTTTACTATTGATTAATACTATTATATGCTTTGATTATGTACACCACAGAGTACCTTCTTACTGTTTTATGTTGTCTGTTACCTTTTATAGAGGAAATGTGTTCATGTGTCTGTGTGGACAATTCATCTCATCCTGTTACATCCTGACAGAAATATCATTGCTTTGAACCTGTTTATCTGCTTTATGACGTTGCAAATGGACCTTAACCTATTTATTTTGGTAGCAATGTGAAAGCGCTGGATTCAGTGTATGAGACAAGCTGATCTGAGATCAACCTGGGCCAAATAAGCAGATCAAGTGAAAGCAGATAACTAGCGTCTGGCTGGACGTGTGAAGGGATCAATGCATTTCAGGACAGGAGGAGATGGAAAACTCACAGAGCTTAGTCAATATGAAAAGGATACAATGGCATTTCTCTGTCAAAAGGGGAACATAGATATGTAATCCTCTCTTTGGAAAGCTTTTTCAGTTATTAAAATATCAGACTCCGTCACTGGCTAAAATAGGGGGGGAGAATGTTTGGTAGTGGAAAGGCATTTGTCTTTTTTTAGTCAGTGGCTTAGGTCTCTGATCAGATTACCTACAGACTGTCTTTATGTTTTATTTAAGTCTAGAGGAACAAAGTTTCCCAATAAGAAAAAAAGTGTCCCTTAAGATTTCAGGTCACATTTAAAGCTATTCAAACTATATTTAGTAACTTCTCTGGTTCATTTTCTGCTACAGCCAAGGTCTAATGTTATTAACATGCTAGTAAACTAGAAAGCTTTTTTGTACCAAAGAAAATTAATCATTACCAATTTGTGAAGTCTTGGAACCCTGGACCCACAGAGTGTACTCTCACTGTAATATTACTGTATCATTTCATTATAATTATATGATCGATAGTTAGTTGGTTGAAGTTCGTCCATGATAGACAGTGATGGACAGATGGCTCATCCAATCACCTGCCAAGTATTTATTTGTGTGCTTATATTTTTGATCAGATATACAGATAACAGATATAATAAGACTTTTATTTTTTTGTATGGTTTGCTTTTTGTTTAAATATGCACGAATCCCAGGGTTCAGCAGTTCACCTCAGCTCTACGAGTTTTTCCTCTTTCAGCTTGTTGTTTTGGTGTTATGGCACGCAACAAAACAATTTTGGTTCCCTCCAACCGCTCTCATCATGTTTTCATTAAAAACGTTACCTGCCCAACATCACAGAGCAGACAGGCAAATTTTAGGGACTAGCTGGCAACAACATTGCGCAAACACAGAAGTTGGTTGGGACCAAAACAGAGCATTTGTAAGCTGACTTGAAACATAACTCCATACGAACGCTGCACAAGTTGACACTGTAGTTTAAAAAGAGAGAGCTTGGACAACATTTAGGTTTTTTGGGGTGTGTTTTGTGATGTTAAAAGTACATCTTTAAGTTTGCTGTCCCTGCAGCTTTCTTCAGTTCAGCAGAGGCAAAAGTGAATGCCATGATCCTAAATCAGTGCTGGTGAAAACCCTTGGTCAGAGACTGTGGACTTAATCCCTCTGACTCAAAACTATGGCTGCCCTAGTTTGACAGAGACTGTTGGATAACAGGAAGCTAGTGGTCAGCTGTAAGAGAACATATTTATATTGTGTCTGGACCCCTTCAGCATTATCTTTAGCATTATCTAAGAAAATCAGTGTGGATCCAGCTTGTGACTTAAGCCCTTTTACACAGCTATTACACAATGTTTGATTTAGAGAGAGCTTCAGTGATGGACACATACATATACACACATATACATATACCAGTATATTATGATTGTTAGGCTTTCCTGCAAAAGAGAATGATCACTATTTCTTGTTGCATAATTGCTGTGATTATGAATTATGCTGTTCTGTCAATCTGACCTTCTAGATTATTGGATCCTGTTCCTAAACCACTTTTATATTGTAAGTACTTATCTAAGCCACTATGTGTAGAATCTAACTATTCTGATGACATACTTTTCTGTTTGTAGAAAAAATTGACAATCCTGGTAAATCCGGGTTGGATTCAGGTCTTTCTAGCACTGGGACTGCCAGAGTCAGAAATTTAAAAAATGCTCACATAGAAGCTTTGAACCTACAAAAAATATATTTGTTGGGCCAGTTGAGGATAGTGCAATAAAAACTATAGTGACATCACCTCATGAAGTTGATTTAGCAAAAAGACACACGACATGGAGCAACATTTGCATTATTAGCATTCATTTAGAGTCATGGTTCTGGCCACCTGATGGAAATATTCCAATGTTCACTCTCTTTTAACTTTGTTATGCTCCCCAAGAAAGGAAATATCTGGCTCTTTTGTTAAATGCTCCACTATGTTCTCCAGCTAGCCGTTAACTTTGTCTGTTTGCTGCTTAGTGTTGGGCATGTGGCATACAGTGGGATTTTTTTTTTTATAAAAGTGACTGGAAACTGTGCTAATGAGAGTAGTGAGACTCACTGTGAACAGTGAGGCACAACCAGAACAATGAGCTGGAAGACGCTAAAACACTCTGTAGAGCTGAGGTTTGTCACTACAAGCAACCTTCTTTGATTATACGCAATCATGTCATCCATTGTTAATAGTCAAACAGTATTCTAAAACCTATTCTACAGCAGGTTTCACAGCAGTCCCAAGCCTACCACATCACAGTGGAGATGAGGAAAGTAGTTTCCACCTTGTCCAAAGTAAACCCATGCAAAGCCCCTGGCACAGACAAGTTCAAAGGTAGAGTGCTTAGGGAACTGGGGGACATCATGGCCCAACTCTCCCTAATGACTCCAGGCCAGTAGTGTTGATATCTGTCCTATGTAAATGCAGTATGTGGTGTGGGACCAACGCTCCACCATGGCTGCAGATAAACTCGATCAACTTTAATTTGCCAAAAAACAATGCAAGGTTGAGGATGCTGGATACTGTGACCAAAAGTTTGGACTCCTCTTATAATACTTATAATACAGTGAACTCATACGGTGAACTCACTTGCTCTACTACAGGTCAACCCAGTACTGGGGCTATGGATTAAAGACATCCTGCAGGATAGACCATGTAGTGGTTAATGTTTTAAGACAAATTTCAAACGCTAGGCGACGGACAGTTTTGATTCTAAAAGGAATTTGAAAACTTACTGCTTTTAGTTTGTTGTGCCAACTACTAATAGACATTGCATTTTGGAAGGTGATCTGGTGTGTGACCTATGTTATCAATAAATCCTGTGTGATTTTATGTGATGACTTATTCTCTCTCACCTTCTTCCACCTATGTCTTCACTCCCCACATCCCTGCCTGTAGCTGTAAGTAAATTCTAGTACAGGAGAATCAGGATGAAAAGATGGCAGCCATGCTGTTACCAACGGGTCCTGATGGCTTGCGGCGGTTCACTCGCGAATCCTTGGCTGCGCTGGAGCAGCGGATTGCGGAGGAGCAGGCCAAGAACCAGGCCAAGGATAGCCATGATTCTCACAGGAACGCTGAGCCACCTAAACCCAGGCCCGACCTGGAGGCAGGCAAGCAGCTGCCGCGCATCTTTGGTGAGATCCCTCCAGAACTTATCGGGATGCCACTGGAGGACATTGATCCATTTTACTACAGGAACCAGAGGGTGAGAGCTTGTGTGAGAGTTTGTTGGGTGGGTTGGATGATGGTGGTTGTGTGTAGGTTTGATCAAGAGTTGGTCACTGTGTTTGACAGGAACTCCTGCTAAGCCCAATTGGTATGATTGTCACCTTAACAAAGTGGCTTAAGACAAACATTCAGTATAAAGAAGAAATTGACACTTAGTGGGTCTGCTTAAAGGAGTTTCACCTTTTGTCAATTCACATGCCATGTGTCGAAACCGAAGTGAAACTGTTCTGTGCAAAAAAGATATTCTGAATTTAACTGAAGTCTGACTTAATCAATTTGTCATCTTCTAAAGTTTTTTAGTATAGAATTCCCTGTTTTTGTTTTCCATGACAGTGTTTCCTTAATGAACCCCGGTAAAGGGATAGATAAGGGAAGAAACACAAAAAGGAAATTTGGTACTAAAAAGACTTCACTGGTCTAACTTAGACGGCTGAAGCATCATATCATCTTCAGATAAACTTTGTAATATATTTTTACAGAGAACGTAGATTTTGTCCCCAAAACACTTGACATTGGTAACATTGGTCACTAGGATTAAGAAATATTCTTTAAATAGCTAGTATGAACAGGAGGAATGTTTACAATCAGTTTTATTAACAAGTTGGTTTTTACATATTAGGAATTTGCCATGGTATATTGGTGCATAACCATAAACATAGTATGAGAAAAATATGCATAAAGATGAAATAGAAACAATATATACAAATATAAAATGATAAAAAGGCAATATGTACAATATGTTATTTAAATAAATGAATGGAGAGCTGTAAAGTATTGTCCAGGGAATGTGCTAGTTCGCAGAATGAAGCATAAAGGATATTTGCAATGTGAAAGATATAATCCGAGAGATGTGCAAAAGATTTTTAAATATACATATGGGCACCTGACAGAGTGGAAATATTGTGAACTGAATATTATGTGCAGACTGCTTGCACTAAACAGATCCAAGATTAAGAAGTGTCATTCTCTGACCTGATTACATTGAAAGAAATGGTTAATATAATGATTAATATAATCATTAATATGATGATTAATATAATGATTAATATAATGGTTAATAAGATTATTAATATAATGATTAATATAATGGTGGTAAAGATTGTAGCTGGTGATTAGTCATTGGCATAGGAGTAGTGTCTGTGACACTGTATTATTTTACTGATACATGTTAAATTATCAACAAATCTCTCCTCTGGACTTGTGAAGATAATATGTCAGTGATCCTCCTGATCAGCTGAGGTTTTCACTGAATTCACCAAGTGATGTTTTAGAGCTGCTAGCCGAGAGGAGAGGAGAACAGACGCATCTCTTTAGATCTCTTTTGGATGCAGAAATAGGATTACCAAGTTTTGATTTGCAGAGTAGATCAGGCTGCTGACCATTAATGGGCCGCTTATGGAGAGATGAAAAAGGACGTGGCAGTCATTCTCAGGGTCTCTTTGTTTTGGCATGTGATGCGCTGCTGGATGGGAGGATTATCCAAAGACGAAAAAATATTTAAATAAATGCCACATCTGTTAGGGAAAGGTTCAGCCCGCTTTGGAGTTGCCTCCATTATGTCAACTGGCTTGTCTTGTTGCGTGTATGTGGCCACTCTGCTTTCTTGGAGGCAGGAGTGCGTATGGTGGAAGTTAACACAGATGGTAGACAGAGTGGTAGACTCAACACATCAGCTATATTATCATCCCTGCGGGGAAAAGAAAACAGCTGAACTGCTGCTCAGAGCTGCTGTCGAGTTCCTCTGGACAACTGGAAAAACAAATGTGCCTGAACATTATGGGGAAATTTGTTTGTGAAATGTATTTACATTCTGACGACTTGATTTCTTTTATTTATAGAATGTAAGCACTAATATTTGATATCTTAATAATATGTGATTTTTCTGACTTCTGTTTTTTTTCTGTTTCCTTTTTAGACTTTTATAGTACTTAACAAAGGGAAGGTCATCTTCAGATTCAGTGCCACATCTGCACTATACATATTTAGTCCATTTGACTTCATCAGATCAATCGCCATAAAAGTTTTAGTCCATTCATATCCTTTTTGATTACCCAGTGCCTGTGTAAAATAACCATGTGATTGTTATTAATAGTTGTTTCCTTTTTTTGCTAAAGGGTAATAATAATTAAATGTGTGATGGTGAACGCCTTTATGGGAGAAAATGCTTTAAGGAAATAGAGAATAGAAGTGATATTGTATATTTTAATAGATAATAATCAGAATTAGGTCAGATGATGATGGTATTGCTTTTGCAAACAAGCATTTGACAACAGCTCCAAAAAGTACTTTACTTCAAAGTAAAAATATCAATGTCGGTCTCCTGACATTTGTAATAACATGAAGATTAGACCATGAATCAGGCAGCCTGCCAATAACAGACCACTGTGAACGTTTACATCAAAATAAAAATGTTTTGTTATAAAAAGTCTGAATTCCACTCCTTGCATCTCATACTGGCAGATTAGCCAATTTCTAGTATTTACTTATTTCCTCTTGTAGATTTCTATTGGATTTTTCCATAGTCCCATTTTTGAAACAGCTTTGTAATGGTCCTCCCTGGCATCGCAAACCAAATCCCCTCATATCCCTCTTTTAATCTCTGAAATGAAATAAGAGCAAGGAGATTTCACATCATGTGATGGCTGCCTATTAGTTCGCAGACAGATGATTTATACTTCATATGGAGTAGGGAATCTTTCCTCTGGATCTCTGTTATAAACATCTATTGATCACATTATCTATTAAATCTTTAAAGTATTGATTCTCTGCAACTGACAATTATTATGTGCTGAGGTACATTTTTAGAGTCCTGTTGGCAAAAACAAAAACTGTACATTTTGTAAAAAAAAATTATATTGAATAATTTAGATTACTGAAAGAGACTGATGATTTTACCTTGAAATGTTTTAAATGTTTTAACTGATTCCATCTTTCAAAGTTAGCAGTTGACAGATCCTTTGTTATTGTTTCATTCATCTATAAGAGATATCACTCCCCTGATTTAATGTTAAATGGAATTTGCTGGGATTGTCCATAATCTGCATTTATTGTACTTCTAATGCCGTTTGCACACACAGTGATGGTTTATCCTAATGGGTATATTTCATAGGATTACAAGAAACATTGTGTGATACAGTGTTCGCTTATCACAGAAACTTATTTGACTGTAAATTACATTTCCACAATACACTTTCCTTAACCTCTTTTCTACATTGTTCAGCCTGTTCATAATGTGCACTATACTGACCAACTGTTTCTTCATGGCCATGTCGGATCCGGCACCATGGACCAAGTACCTGGAGTAAGTACGCACAGTATTTGAGCTGTTATCTGACCCTGAAACGGTGCTACGTGTGTTCTAATGTGGGGCTGTGGGGTTTGTTGTTTTGTCAGTGATGATTGAAGAATCAGCTGACATGTAAGTATAAGATGCATGTAATATTCACTTCAGTCAGAACGCCACACAGGCATGCCGGAAGAGAGCATTTGATGTGGAATGAAAGTTTATGCTTAAAAGTCTTCAGAAATGTTCCGATGTGCATGATGTGAAGATGTTGTTGTCATCAGTGGGTCCCAAGCTCGTTTAGCATGCAGCATGCTATCTGCATTGACAAACACGTTCAGCTTGTTCATTTACTCTTGCAACTTCAGGAATTAGTTTATAAAAAATGTGAAAACAGAGTGCCACACTCAGGTAGCCGATTAGCTTAGGTCTGCTCACAGACTGAGAACAGGGGTAAATAGCTCTGGCTCTGGTCAAAGGCAGGACCTATTTCAAGCCCTCTATCTCTCTCCCTCCGGCTCGCGACATGATGTCAAAAATATAATATAATCCGGCCAACAAGATTATTTTTATTCTTTTTTTGTTGTGTCATATCATACCCTTTTATATAGGATTAAAATAAAAACACAATTAATGATGATTGATGATGATATTAAAATGTATAGAAACTGCTACTTGCATTTTTTTGTTAAGTATGTTGTAAGTAATGGAAATACTTGGCCCTCCCATATAAAATGACAATACCAACTGTGGCCCCAAGCCAATTTGAGTTTGAGACCCCTAGTAATCTTGCACACAACCCCCATAAAACAGAATCTGGTAATTTTTAAACTATGGTTTTTGTATGGAGTAAACACAAACGTTAGTATGCCAGGATAGCTATTTCCTCATATTTGCATTCTTTATGCTAAGCTAAGCTAACCAGCTGCTGACCGTAGCTTCACTTTGACTGTGACAGACCTTAAGTGACGAGTACAAATTAAATTGGAATATGAATGAACCACTTTATGTCTTGTTTTGTTTTTTAATTCAGTGAAAACTTGAATGTATGTATAACCTGTTTGTACTTTACTTTTCATTTGTTTGTATATGTAAACATGCATTATTATGGCCACAATAATATAAGTGCTCATATGTGATTTTTATTACAATCTGACAGCAGCATAACTCCTCCATAATTAAAGTTACTATAAATATCAGCTCCATTCAAAGGATGTTGGGCTGAGAGTTACTGATTGTGGTTTATTTGGATTTTAATCCATTAAATCCACTCTGAACTTGTAGATATAGTGCAACAATGGATTCAGAGCTAACTGCATTTTCTTTCCCCTCCGTGAATATTTTGCAGGTATACTTTCACTGCCATTTACACTTTCGAGTCGGCGATAAAGATATTTGCGAGAGGATTCTGTATAGTGCCGTTCACCTTCTTGAGGGATCCATGGAACTGGCTGGACTTCTCTGTCATTGTTATGGCGTAAGTAACAATATCATTCATACTTCATTTATACTGACAATCTCACCTGACATCCACTTTAACAGTGGCTACATCGTGCAGATGTGTGTGAAGTAACTATCAGAGAAACACCCAATTAAAAGGTCCACTTTTATTCAGTGTTCACATTCTGTCTTGTGGGACATTTTTGTGCACACTGTAAGAAAACAAACAACAACCTATTCTTTCACTATATGTCAAAGTGACCGTAGTCAGTCAGTCATCCTGAGTGTGATTCAACAATAAGCTTATTGTTGAGGTCAGAGATCTGTGTGCCATGACTCTTTACCCATGAAGCAGGTGGCAGATTAGACAGGTGACCTCTTGATGCATTAATGCAGCATTGTCCGAGACCAATCATCCTGATAGGACGTTTGCTGTGTTTGAAAACAGCGAGACAAAATCCCTTTTACTGTGTGTAGACACACTGAAAGCTGTCATTACTGTCAGTGATTCGTTTGTTTTTGATTAATTATGGTTTAGTCAGCTAATTGATTTTTTCTGACAGGTGCTAAACACATGCTATTCTTTTAACTGTTAAAGAAGCTATAATCAATGCTTTTATATCTGCAGCTCCAATCAACTCTAGGAGCATTTTAGTGTCTTTTGGCTCATTATTTCGGTTTTCCAAGCCGCAACTTTGCTTTTTGGTTAATTCTTACTACTCATAGCATTTTTTGCAGCAGCAGGCAGCTGTTTTCAGTAATAACACTGATGACTAAATGAAACCAAGATCCTAAGCCAATAAAAAAGCTTGTTACTTAATGTTATCTAATTAAAATGCATTTATAAAAAAAATAGTAAAAAGTATGTCTGAATTATTAACCCTGGTGATCATACAGATCACTTTATATGATCACTAATACTTTGTTAAATATTCCTGCAGAATTTCATAAGTCTCCTAATATTAAATTCCAGATATGTGACAGAATTTGTAGACCTCGGAAACGTCTCAGCATTAAGAACCTTCAGAGTACTACGAGCACTGAAAACCATCTCAGTTATACCAGGTAAGACAAGCACAACCTCAAACCTCATTCCATGTCTCCTCTCTTGTTTCCAGTCACGTGTGAATCTCCTTTTCCCACATCAACCGGAAATTTTGTTAATGCAAATAGTTGATATATTATGTCCTCTCCCTCGTCAAGGTCTGAAGACCATTGTCGGTGCTTTGATCCAGTCTGTGAGGAAGCTGGCAGACGTGATGATCCTGACCGTCTTCTGCCTCAGCGTGTTTGCCCTCATCGGCCTGCAGCTTTTCATGGGGCTGCTGCGACAAAAGTGTGTCCGCAGCCTCACGCACTGCATCAACTCCTCCTACAGCTCCAACGCATCCTTCATCTGCAACAATAGAACCTGGAGCACCAGGGCCGACTTCCTCAGCAATGAAGGTCAGCTGAAACAAAACAGACTGGTGTTGAGAAAGCAACATACACACGTACAGTGCTCTGAATACTGTCCGCTATTATTAACGTTCAGAGTTGCAATTTTGTTTCTTTAAATTCTTTTTCCCCTTTTCCTTAGATAATTTTTACAAAGTTGAAGGAGCAAAGGATGCCTTAATATGTGGATATGGAAGTGATGCGGGGTAAGTGAGTGTTTGTTCTGCTTGTTAATCATCTGCCGGCTGTTACATAATATCAAAGGGTCTAATGGTTTTTGATCCCATGCATGTCATGTGTATAATTGGATTCAGGAGCTTGAGTATCAGCGGTTTTAGTAGTTTTCGTAGAACAAGAAAAAACAGATACAAAACTAGATGATATTCTTTCATATTTACAGTAAATCTGTGACTTGTGTAATGTATAGAGCAATGATCCCATCAGAGGGAGGGGTGTAGCATGAGAGAGGCTGTACACAAGACGACATGTGGTGTGGATAATCACCCCTGCTCCGCTGGAACCCTTTACTGAGGAACATGGAGTTGCCAGCTGGAGAGAGGGGGGTCTTTGGAGATTTCATCATCTCAAAAGCTCTATGACATGATTAGGTTAACCGGAGTGGACCGGATCACTTTGGACTCATATTCTGTTATTGTTGGGAGGAGTTATTGTACTGAAGTCTTCAAGCAGTACTCCAACTTGAAACACCTTTGATTTTATTTAGAACATCAGTATAAATATAGACATGCATGGATGACGGACTTTGTTCCCAATCAAAGGCACAGTGTGAAACCATCCAAATATTGTTACTCAGCCTACGCGCTGAATAATCCTATAAATCCAAATGCTTTTGAAACAAGCACAACAGGATGACTTTGCCAGGCCCAGTTCAAGGGTTATAGTGAACTAAATACCCATCTGTTTGAATCTGAAATCCTGCAGCTTCAACAAATAGCTTCCATTAGGTGCCTTTGTTAATGATACAACATAATGAATGACAGCAAATAACAAAAAATGGTGATGATATTAAGTTTTAACAGGGTCCTATAGCTTTATACATATATGGTTTCTGTAAAGACTTCATTACAGGGTTCACTCTAAAGAACTCTTGGGGTTCTTTAAAAGTGCAGAAGAAGTTTCCATTTGATGAAATAATAATAACAACTGTAGAAAAAGTATTAAAGTAATCCAAATCAAAGGGTATTGGTAAACAACAGCAATGGCACACATCTATACAGATGCAGGAAAATGAATAATAATAATACATTCATTAAATGTAAATAGTTGGACTGTGTTAGACTTTTTATTAAATTTAAAAATTAAACTACAGAATTTTGATAATTGATTAATAGTCATTTTTCAAGCACACTTGTCCCAACTACTCTATGTGAGGATGTGCTGCTTGTTTCATAGCTTCTTGATGAATGGATAAAAAAAAGGGATATTCGGTGTAGGGTTAATGGGCTGTTGTACCTCATTTACACATTACAGGAACTTGATCGTCTCTCTTAACTAGGTGGCGGTTGTAGTAGAAGTGCAGCGCTCTTCTGGTAGCCTAATATAAGAAACACTGTCACAAAGAAAAGGCTGAAAAGGCTAAGACTGAACCACATGTAAAAACTGAAACATAACTTTCAAAGTTTCATAACATAAAATAATATGATTGTTACATCATTCGGGAGTCAGAGAGTCTGTGTTCAGGAACACTGAGTTTAAAGAAAACTTGAAATGGGAACACACAGTGAGGGAAAACACTTTCAGAACCAGCAGAATGATGACAGTAAAGTGCTACATTTAACATGAATAAAATGTACTAATCCAGCTAGCTAAAGCCTGGTCCACACAGCTGAACTGCTGCCGCTCACTGTGTTGTCCACACAGAGAGTTTGTGTGCTGTTACCAGGCCTGTATTTCTACATTGAGTTTGCCTTTAATAAATACAAAATAATAAAAGCTTTGTTAACAAATGAATGGATTCTGCCCACAGAAACACAAGAGAGCCTTTAATCTCAGACACATGAAAAAATATTTTTATATTTTCTGTGACACATTCTACAGATAGACATAGAAATTGTAGTGAAAGGCTACTTCTTTAAAGAAATCTTTTCCGAAAACTGAGAAAAGGCATTTTTGTTTCTGCTATTATACCATGTTTTTCATGACTTTATAGGGAGTTGGACATTTTCTGGGAAGAATGAGCTAACTTTAGAGGGTTGACTATCTAACGGATAGCCCTAACGGACATCTTATATTAACTGATAACTGGTAGCAAATAATTTGACTCATGCATTTATATTAAAATACTGAAGAAACAGAGACAGTTAAACTGCAAGTAAAAAGTCTAAATAAATCAGACTGCTGGCAGCCTCAGTTAACAGCTAATGCACACTGTAGAATTCCTTTTTATAAGATTTTAGCTAATATTTATATTAATAAACTATTTTAATTAATGACTTAATAGAAAAATTATAGACACAGTGGAGGTAGTTACACAATTTTATTGGCATCAGAGAACTGCCAACCCTTTAGTTTTTAATCTGACTCTGCAACCTCTCCTTTAAAAACACAGGAACTTAATCTCCCAAGAAGTAAAATCTGATTCAGTAATTTGTGTTCAAGTCAGAGTGAAAAGAGGATACATTTGAGGGCATTCAGTGGGAAATGACATCATTAAACTCCCATAAATAGTAGGTCAGTAAGATCAGACTCATACCAATGTGACCTATCCAGCTGTCCCAGAGGTTTACCTACAAGTCACTGCAATTGGATCTTTTTCGATTTGTTGCCTGATGTTTGTGTTTCTGCCATTTGTGGAGCTCTAACAGTGTGCTGTCATTGACATTCACTCTCATTCAGTTTTAATCTTTTTTTCTGTGTCTAATGGGTGTATTAATGGCTCTTTGGACAATAAGAGAACAAGGAGGATTAATCTTTTTCTGTAGCTTTGATTAGAATTTTCCTCTGTCACCAAGAATATGGTATTTATTGCATTTTTTCTTTCTTTGCAGTTAGATTGAAGTTAAATCAAAGCCAGGTTATAGGTTAAAATAACCATAAGCTAGCGTGTCCATTGGCAAAATGAATGAGATAGCCTTTTAACTTCTGTGACATTTTAGATGGAACTTTCTGAGGCTGGCTGTGGAGATGGGCAAGATATTAAGCAGGTCAGGACGGAGGACGTAAAACATAGAGGATGCTTAATCTTTTGAGTGTATTCCAACAAGTAATCCCTGAGTAGATTTCCAAATTAAAGCTTTGGATACGTTATGATGACACACACAGTCACACACATGCACAAAAACACACACGGACACATGTGGGCACATATGCACACAGATGCACATATTTAAATTATATTTTCAGCCTAGATGGTTAACAAGTTTGTGATAAATGATTTGCTCAAAGGTTCAAGCTGTTTCTCATCACGCCTACTGTGTAGAGTTCAGGCAAATGTTTATCCCCTTACATCTTAAAGCCACTGTGCATCCAGGATTATAACTTTCAACTTTTGCCCTTGACGGACGTATGACCTCAGCCCCGCCCACTTTAGAGGGAAAACACTTTGCTGTGATTGACAGATGTTCCTCTGCTGTTCTGTTACACAAACTGCAGGAAATAAATGGGCACTCTCCAGAATACTTATAAAATAATGTAAACATGTTAAGAAATATCTTTTTTATTGAGCTCTTACAGAACCTTTTTACTTTAGATGACTTGTAAACTTTTAAAGGACCATTCTGTAGAATTTGACAGTTTTGCTCCTTAACTACGAATCATTTGTTTTAAATTCTATGCTGACTATTTTCAAATGCTTGCTGTCAGTTTTACATTTTTCCTGGTCTTTGATGATGTTCACTGATTTCCATACAGAATGAAATCCATTAGCAGACTGCAAAACTGCATGACAGTGCAATGACAATAATGTAAAAAATATTTTTATACCAAACAGAAATAAATAAAAAACAATGATTGCCTTAAAGAAAACATAGATTAAAAATATATATAATCTATATATAATATATATATATATATGAAAAAAGACTCTAATAGTTAAGTATGATGTAAAGTGCATGTGATTTGTTTTTGTTTTTTTACTTCTGGTGGAGGGCTGTGTCAGATTTTGCCTCAAACGATAAAAGAGATCTATTAATATATATTAGTTATGAGTAACACGCTGTAGGGTGTCCAGTGTGTTACTAATGAGTACATCGTAATATACACATAAAAAGAAAAACACTACATATTCCTGTGCAATCAGTACCCAGCCATAAGTGCTTAATGCTGACTGTGGATGTTGTGCATGTGTGGAGGCAGATCAGATCCCACAGCGAGGGCATGTGGCATAGCAGCTCTCCTGGAGGAGCCAGATAAACCCATGCAAGAGCAGTCTCTTGGGCTGTTACTGTAGAAACCTCAGTGTGAAACAGTGTGCGAATAAGAAATACAACCACAACATTAGATGTATGAGTTAATTTGTGTGCATTGCATTTAAGGTAGCCAAACTTAAGCATTTAAGACGCTTTCTCTTACTATTATATATTCTTGTTTTTAGCTGCTCCGACTTTTAATTGAGAAAATTAAATCAAACATGACATTCTGAACAAATGATAGAATATTGATTAAGGTAAGAATCAATCTCTGTTATCAATTCCCACAACTTGAATTAGAAATCAGTTTATTTTATTTAGACGGATTTCATATTTTTACTCTGCAGATTATTAACGTTAGAAAAAATTTCGACCAACCAGCGGTGCTAAATTTTTTTGGGATTTCCAATTTACAGAAAAAAAAACAGCAAATCTTCACAGCTGGGAAGCTTAAACCAAAGTATGTTTGGGATTATTGCTTGACAAATTACTAAAATAATTAATAAATTATCAAGATAGTTGTTCACTAACATTCTGTTAAATTGAAAAAATTGGATCAATCTGTGATGAGAAATCATGTTTCCGTTTTTCTTTTTTTTGCATTAAAAGGTTGATGGATTTTCTTTAAATGCAAAAAAAATCCAGTTTTAAACTGTCCCTGCTTGCAATTTAAGAATCAATATAAAACAAATGTTCCGTAGGATATCAGTCTATAAAACATATGGTTAAGAGTAGTGTATTCAGAAAACAACAAGATACAGTTAATGGACTAAAATATGTAAAACCAATTTGCAGTCCCTATGGGTGTGCATGTTTGTTATACTGAGTAACAGAGATGAACAGATTGGTGCAGCAGAGGGAAGAAACATCCTGACAGGAAGATGTCGCTGGCCTCACGCAGCCTCCTCTGTCCTCACTGCTGGATATTAGTGAGAATTCCTGCTTAGCTGGCCGGTCGGTGAGACCTACAGCTGTTGCCACAGCAGCGCTCTGCCACCCAGCTGTTTCCCAGCCATTATGAAATTATTCTGCACTCAGATTGACATGGCAGTCCAGCTTGTTCTCAGCTGCTGGACTTAAATATTTGCTGTAATGCCACTATGCTGACAATGAAGATCAGAGATGGAGGCATGGAGCTGAAATTTTTTGAACTGCAATTTGATATCCATCTGGCTCAGCGTAATCCCCTTTGCTCCAGTGCATTTTAGTGCTCCTGCCTGGAATGAATTTCAAGAGGCCTCTTCAGTTGAAATAATGGTGTTGAAAACAGTGTATGTACTTACTCACTCATCCGCTTCTCTACCCTGTGGAGTCAAAGGCCACAGGGCTACATGTAGATACTGGAGGTTTTTTTTAACTCTGGTAAAGCAGCCTGCACGCTACCATAGCTATGTCTGTCCCAGCTGCCTTTGATTAAATTGTACACAGCCTTTGTTTATCACTGTTGTCCCATAACCATGTGTCCTCTGCCTTTCAACTGTTTGTGCAATACAGGAAGTGTCCAGATGGATTTGACTGCCTAAAAGTAGGGAGGAATCCAAACTATGGATACACCAGTTTTGATACCTTCGGATGGGCTTTTCTGGCCCTCTTCAGACTCATGACACAAGACTACTGGGAAAAGCTGTTTCAACAGGTGCCATTTTTGAACCTAATTTTTAATCTACCAATATTCTGTGATGATTTGTGTGCCCCTTAAATAATAATGCATTCAAATTGATGCACAAATACACAATAAAATATTGTAGGCTAGTTGTAGGCAATGTCAAATAATCTTAAAGGAGCATTCAGTTTGTTTACAACCTGGATTATATTCTTTACTTTCTACTTCTTTTTTTTTTTTACTCGCCATCATTTCTCTTTGTTATGATAGTATTTTTGCCTACTTGGATAATTTGGGTGACACACTGACTCAACACTTCAAGATGTGATCCATAAGGGCAAGCAACATTAGCAGTCAGACAGGATGTAACCACCACTCCATGACTATCTAAAGCGCTTACTTTAAGTATAAACGAAAGGTTGAAGTTACAGTAATATTGAAAAATCTCGATTTTTTTATAAATAGAGGGTCAAGTGACTGTGTTCAATGTGAAAGGAGTTACTTATAGTGACAAACCCGTGGAGAGTTATCATCCAAATCATTCAGCTCTACAGAGAGTTACAGCATCTGTAGCAGAATCTCTGGAACTACAAAAACATGACTCATGGGAATTTGTTTGTAATGACTTTATGTCTGCTCCCCCAGACGCTGCGCTCAGCAGGGAAGACCTACATGGTTTTCTTCGTGCTGGTAATCTTCCTGGGCTCCTTCTACCTGGTTAACCTCATCCTGGCTGTAGTGGCCATGGCCTATGAGGAGCAGAATCAGGCGACCATCGCTGAGGCCTGGCAGAAGGAGAGGGAGTTTCAGCTGGCTATGGAGCACCTTCGCAGAGAGCAACGAGTAGGTGTCAGCCAGCAAAACAGTTCAAATTTTCATGCATGCTTTCAACATCAACAAAAAATAATATGCTGTAACATAATTTCTTTCTGTGTCAAGTTGGCAACAAAAAGACAAGCGCAGGATACAGACTCAGTGTTGTCCCCAGAGTTGTCTCCATTTTGTCTGAAGACGGGCAGCATACGTCGAAGCAGCAGCAGAAGAAGAAGATCGCACCGGATGTTGTCAGAGGAAACAGAAGAGGAAGCTGCTGAAGAGAATTTGGAACCACTGGACAATGAGCCAATGGTACGTCACGTAAAACATTTCTCTGTCTTTGATGTTCTGATAACCAGGCATATGAGCTAATGTATCCTCTGTGTTTCTCTAGCCTCCTCTGTCTCCCTTTCCAGCCCACCCTCTGCTGGCCACGCTCTCCGCTCACCCCCTCAGCACCAGGAGAGGAAGCCAGATCAGCATCTTCAGCTCTTTCCGGGTGCGCAACAACTCGGAGGCTGACTTCGGGGATGATGAGTACAGCGTTCATGGGGATGTCTTCAGGAGTCGCACCAACTCAACAGCAACACCCTGGAAGAGAAGGACGGGCAGTGTGCGGAGCCACTGCTCCCAGATCTTCACCCCCAGCCTCAACGTCAATGGCCGGCTCAACATCTCCCTGGACCAGAACGGAGTCACCACTCTGGGCCTACATACTCCCACCTCCATGCCTGCCCACAGCATGGAGAGAGTCAGGGAAGACACAGTGAGTGATAGATGCTTTTATTAGAATGTAGTACTCTCACACTGGAATAAACTCACATTGATATTAACTGATTGACGGCCCAAGAAGAAAGCCTTGTTCTTAAGTTTTGGGTGTTTTCTCTCTACAGAAACCCACCAGTGCAGAGGACACAGTTCCCAGAACTCTCCTCCAGCCTTCCCCGACAGCAACCGAGCCTCCTCCGGTACAGAGGAAAAGAGGGCTGAGTTCTGTCAGCTTCCTCAGCGATGCCATGGATGGTGAGTCCTTGTGAATAATAAAGGAATAGTCTGACATTTTGCCAAATACACTTTCTTGCTTTCTTGAGAGTTATATAAGAAGATTGATACCACTCTCATGTTGAGCTAACCATTACAGATTGAAGCTAGCAACTCTGAGTAGGACAGTAGGAAATGCTCAGGCAGTGGACTTCATGTTTTGTCCACTGGTGTTTTAAACAAAAGGAAAAGCAAGCATAGAATTCAACAAAAGGCCTGCAGATGAATGGTTCACCTTGGTGTCTCTTTGCAGAGTTGGAGGAGTCGAGACAGAAGTGCCATCCCTGCTGGTACACATTCGCCAAGAAGTACCTGATATGGGACTCTTGCCCCTGGTGGCTGCAGATTAAGGAGTGGGTGAAGTGCATGGTGATGGATCCTTTCCTGGATCTGGGTATCACCATATGCATTGTGCTGAACACCCTCTTCATGGCCCTGGAGCACTACCCCATGACTGATGAGTTCAACACGATGCTTTCAGTGGGCAATCTGGTAAGGGGTTTTTAATGATAGGGGTGGGCATGTTTCCGACCCTTTTTCCTAAGTGCCGTTGGATTAGAAGTGAAGGGGACTGAAAGCCTCACTAAGAAGAAAGTAAAGAGTAAAGACGAAGGGCATTCATTCAGATAATGTATTTCTGTATCAGACAGCTGAGTTTTATATAGCCAGTGCTGTTTGGAACTGTGTGAAACAGGGCGATGTTGATCCTTTGTCAAAGGTTCTGCTTTAGACTATTTGTGATTATCCTCGGTAAGAGGGACAATTTGTAGCAGGAAGTGGGACTGATTCCCTCGTTTGTATTTTACCATCTCCCCATACTGGTAGATTGTACACTCTGCCAGTTTCTTCAAGTTTGACAACCTGCTTAAAAGAAGACAGATGGAAGTAATGCTTTACTAAGTTGCTTTTGTTTTTAGTCCTATGTATTTGTCTTTTGTCTGTTAGTTAGCAGAATGTCCCCAAAACCTTAAGATTTCTGTGAAATTTGTTAAGAACTTAAACCATGGCTTAAGGAAAAGGTGATTAGTTTGTGGTGCAGATCCAGCAATTATTTAAGTTTATTTTTTTAAATTGTAAGAGGATATTTTGAAATATTTTTTATATTTTCTCTCGAACTACGTGGATACTGATCCTAAAACTGGCACTTTGTAGAAGTATCCACTCTGCTTTCTATTTTTTTAAATCCAATCCTCTTTTTATCTCTGTTTTGCTCTCCACAAACTCATGAAGGAAATATATCTTCAGCTGCTAAATGCTCCACTGTGTTCACTTGCTAGGAACTGTGTCTATCTGCCGTTGATACTGAACAGGCAGTTTACAGTGGGGCTTTTCACTGACCTTTTTCAAATCTGACTGCTGCTGGACACAAGACTGATGAGAGCTGTACTACATGCTACAAAGTCCATTTTTCATATACAAATATTACTACATGCAGCTTTAACTGGAGAAGAGTCATATTCCATTTAAATAGGAAAACGTTTTCCTGTCCCCGTATTCCAGGTTTTCAGTGGGATCTTTACAGCTGAAATGGTGCTTAAGCTGATTGCCATGGATCCCTACTACTACTTCCAACAGGGATGGAATATCTTTGACGGCGTCATTGTTTGCCTCAGTCTGATGGAGTTGGGTCTCTCCAATGTAGAGGGGCTGTCTGTCCTGAGATCTTTTAGACTGGTAACAAAAATCTTTAACTCTTACTAATGTACATTTATTCCATTGTTTGCATTTTTATTATATTATATACTATATATACTATTATATAGTAGATTAAACAAAAATTAATTCTATACTAACATTTATTTATGTGTAAAATGCATCATAGCACTTTCCTTTTTCTTTTTGTATTAATAAACAGACAATAGCAGTCTGTTTTGTGCAAACAGTCAGAAAATGTCTGCAAACATAAAACTGGCTCAAATAATACTAAAAGATACATTTCTAAAGTCTATAAAGTCTTACATTGCAATATCAACACAGTTTGATGCAGCATTGTTTGTTTCCCCTAACATTGTTCTCTTTATCAGTTACGAGTCTTCAAGCTGGCAAAATCCTGGCCCACTCTCAACACTCTCATCAAGATCATCGGCAACTCTGTGGGCGCCCTGGGAAACCTGACGCTGGTGTTGGCCATCATTGTCTTTATATTTGCTGTGGTGGGCATGCAGCTGTTTGGCAAGAACTACCAGGACTGCGTGTGTAAGATCTCCATGGACTGTCAGCTGCCTCGCTGGCACATGAAGGACTTCTTCCACTCCTTCCTGATTGTGTTCCGGGTGCTGTGTGGCGAATGGATCGAGACCATGTGGGACTGTATGGAAGTGGCCGGGCAGCCCCTCTGTATCCTGGTGTTCATGTTGGTTATGGTCATAGGGAACTTGGTGGTGAGTATTAAATTTTATATTTTTATATGATTTTAAATCTCTGTCAACAAATCCCATGACCACAACCAGCACTGAACTGATCTTACCAACAAATATTGAATGTGTAGCCAAAGCCTATAAAGTATTCCTCTTTGTCATAGAGCTCCATAGTTATACAAAAACTATATACTGAAAATATATAACATCACATGGTGTAATGTAGAGTAATGTTTGCTATAATCCCCAGTGCCCTGCTGTATAAGGAGATTTTTTTTTTTTTAAATGAAAGTTTATATCACTGACCAATTTACATCTTTAGTAGGAGCCAGTGGGCTTGGGGTTGAGAGCCAAAAATAGGTTGGGAATGTTGGAAAGTACTAAAAGACAAAGTAACACACTGTTGTTTTTGGGTGTTTGTGGACAATAACAATAATACAGAATATTTAAAAACTGAATTCTTTAGTATAGAAAGTATAGCAAAAAACAGGAAGTCTGCCTAGAGAGAAATTCAATTGCACGTCAATGCAACCGACTGGAACTGCAGTCAAATCCAAATGATGATGTCAAGAGTAATCAGGGATTACGTTGCACCAATGAGGATTGGTGATTCCTTATTATGAGGATGGGACATCCTTGGACAGTTGTTGGTGGCTCGTCATGATGCATTTTGTTTAGCTACCTTAGTTGCTCTTTAACACACGTTAGTCACTGAGAAAGTGGTTCTGTCACAGCGTCATACTAACCGTCTTGCTGATTAGCATTAGCAGACTTCAAAACAGATCATGTCTGAACGACATATAAACCATCTGTTGTCCCTCCTAAGTAATATATGTATTATCTGTGCATCCTGTCGTGCAAACTGTAGCCACAACAGACACACTCCGCGCTAGGAGCAGCTTTGCCGCTGCTTCATGACCAGCAGGGCTGAATGTTTTATCCGCTGTTAATGAACTAAGCCTTGTGGTTGAAATTCTGACCTAAGGACTGTACAAAGGATCAGCCAAGGCCACAGAGTGTTCTCGCTGTCGTTCCAACCTAAAAGCAGGTACAGAGTTTCACACAGGATGAAACACAACATGCAACAATCATGCATGCCGCTGTTTCTATAGGAAATAGTTCATGTGTGTGATAGCTTTGTTTGTACACAACTGCTGCCATAGCAAGGATACGGAAACTCGTTGGTCCACCCATATGGTGATTTGCTGTCCAGCTGTGTCCTGTAAACTAACATTAATGAGAACAGATTAGAAAAATCCCGGAAGCGCAGACAGCCAGCAGTCACAGCATTTATTTATGGTCAGTGTAGAGTTATTTTTAAAATATATAAAATCACACAGGATTGTAGTCTGTTTCTGTAGCACTATTCGTCTTGTTTTTATTTTATTATTATTATCAGGATTTTTTTTGTTCTAATTCATTTTCAGGATTTCTTTTCTTTTTCATTTTTTCATTTTTTTTTACAAAGGGCTTGTTGAGTCACAACTGAAATTAGCAAGAGATTTATATTATGGAAGTCCAAACAAGAAACAAATGTCTGTGCTATCAGCTAGTTGGTTATCCATCTCATGTTAACACATTATTATATTACATGTTAGAATAGTATTAAATTACACACTGAAGATGAGTGTCATCTGTACAATCAATTCAGCTCTGTCGCACAGCTGTTTTAAAACCCTGTTGCGCTTCTGAGAAAATGGAGCAAGGCTTTAAGTCTGGAGTTCCTGTTGGATCTGCTTCCAACACCTGTTCCCAGCATGCTCTCTGGTCCCGCTGCCATTAAATGCTAGTTTGTTTCACATTTAATCCTATGCTCTGAAATGTATCTGTCGGTCAGAAATGTTTTAAAACCTTTTTGGTTAAAATAGTTGGTGGTCTTTGCCTGGATGATGACTGACGCTGTGCTTCGTGCAGGTCTAAAGATGGTGCTATTTAAAATAATGGATGGATAATTCTTCTCATGTATTTCCTGACAATATATACAGCAACCCTTTCATTTTCTCTACACTATAAGTCATAATCATACAATAGAGCAGTTGTTAAACAAAAGCAACTGAACTTTGTAACATATTACACCACTCAACCAGAGAGTTTGTAGGATCATGTCTTTTTTATCACACCAAAAACCAAGAGCGAAAGTGAATGGATTCAACCATCAAATTGATGTGTTTTAACATAGGCTGCAAACATTAGCATGCCTGTCTAGCTTAATAATACCTACAGTAGTAACCTGGTGTTATTTCCAAAGGCAAGGGGCAGTTATGTTGAAAATACTTAATACAGGACTGCAACACGGCATATATGTGTCTGAGCATATCTGGGTAGAATATCCTCCTGAATTTACAATGCAGGATTTGCCAATGTTGACAAAATATGTGGGATATCATGCCATGTATTAGCTGCACTTATCCTTCCTCACAGGCTAAACTAAGCTCTGATTTGTAAAGAAAGATTAATCATGACATAAGCACAATGTAAAAACAACATTTTCTGGGTAAATGGCTATAAAATGAGAACAATGTACTGATCAAATACAATGTAACAACATCTGTCTGTCAACAGGTGTTGAATCTTTTTCTGGCCCTGCTGCTCAGCTCCTTTAGCTCCGACAACCTCTCTGCTCCAGACGAAGATGGCGATTTGAACAACATTCAGATCGCCATCGCCCGCATCAATACCGGTGTCTCCTGGCTCGTAACAAGTGTCACAGACCTCTTCAACCGCAGCTTGAAGCGTCAAAATCAGAAGCCCAAAGAATCCAGTCAGGCCCTTAAGCTGGAAGGAAATCACATGGAAAGCAATGGGGGAATATTTGGGCGCTATGGAGAGAAGTATATCATACCAGAGGGGGACACCTACATGACGAACCCAAACTTGACTGTCATTGTTCCTATCGCACCTGGAGAGTCAGATGTGGAGTTTTTGGAAGAGGAGGAGATTTCTGAGTCATCAGAGGATGAAGACAACAAAGCGGTATGTGTACCTACGTACCTGAACCTTTGTGATTTACTGTTGTGGTGGTCTTTGGATGGTATTTTCCACCAGAATAGTTTTGTCTATGTGATCAGTTTATTTACTCAATAGCCATATTTAATACATTTAAAGGGCTTCCTGCCTGGTGCATGCTGGGATGGCGACAAAATAGAAAAAAACAATGAATTTATAATAATATAATAAATATATTCTAGCAAATGTAAATGTAGCTAGCAGTGTTACATCTCTTACTTTCTAAGACATACTAAAAACATTATGGCTAATTCTTTATTGCTCTGTAATGTCCTAATTATATACTAGTGCCATGGTGAGACAAATATAACTTTGGAATCCAGATGTTTTATTTCAGCCTGAACAACTGAGTTATTAAGAATTAACATAAATATGGCAAACTCTCCTTAGAAATGTAAGTTGTTACGCGGAAAGTATGACCATAATAAAAAAAAATTAATCAACCAGACCAAACCCTAATGTGTTACATCATTAGCGATTGTTCAAACTGTCTAAGTGACAATTTGAAATGAAATAGTAGGGTAAACACAGGTGTTCCCAGTGATACTAATTAAGACAGAACAGAGTGAGGGTGCTGCTGTTGTACATGTTGGGTCACTGGAAAGGATCTCAACTGTAATTACTATTATCACCTGTGTTTACCCTACTATTTAATGTCAAAATGACTCAAAGGCCTATTGTAGGGACAATATTAAAATGCACTTATTGCAGTTGATTAGACCTAACAAGCTGGGAGAAGAGGTTTTAATGAGGTATAATAATTAATAATACCTGTGTGGATGGACCATGCAAGTGTAAAAGCTTTTAGGGATTGGGGTTGTGGACCACTAAGGATACTGAGCACCATAAGTCTGACACAGGTAACTAAACTAGCACTTGTATTTGTTTTATTAGTATTATTAGACGATTAGTTTACAGACTACCATTGGCTTAGCAAGCTCTAATTGAAGATAACAGTTTGGGACATTTTGGGAAACTTCCTGAAACTAAAATAAGAAGATCTCTCTCATTGTCTTGTCTGTACTGTAAATATGAAGTCTGGAAACAGGGAAACAGCTAGCCTGACTCTGTTGACAAAAAGCATAATCCAACTACACCAGCACCTCTGAAGCTCACTAATTAACAGGTTATATCCTGTTTGTTTAATCCGTACAACAACCGATGAGTAAAAACAACACATTATGGTTTTACTGGGGCTTATGAACCGGACTAATGGGTGCATTAAGTCTCGCCATGACTGTGAGGTTACACTTTGGTTTTTGTATGGATGGTGGATTTAGTTACCTTTTGACAGTGCCAGGCTAGCTGTTTGTGCCAAGCGAGGGTAACCAGCGGCTGGTCTTAGCTTCATATTTACAGTACAGACATGAGAATGGTATTGCTCTTCTCATCTAATTCTCAGAAAGAAAGTGAATACGTGTATTTCCAAAAGGAATAGTTTGACATGTATTCATTCAAAACCACTGTAATAAGCTGTTTGAATATGAAAGAAGCTATGTGACTGGCCAAGAGAATCAATATTATGATCACCACATCGATGGACCTAGTTTTGGTTGCTATGACCCATTAGACCATCTAACCACCTTAGTCTCTCTCTCTTGTTGACTTGTGCGTATTAATTAAGCCTCTCAATCTCTCTCTCTAAGTCTGTCTTTATCAAGCTCCCTGTATCTTCCTCTTGCCTTACTCTTATTCGCCCTTCCCGTCTCGCCTGGCTTCCTCTGTCTCTCAGTGTCCTGTGGGTGTGTTTGTTGAGGTTTGTTGAGGATGTGTCGCTTCTGTCCTATCTGGCAGAGTGACAGCAGCGGGCCAGATGTTGAGCCAGGCCCTGTAGAGCAGATTATACTGACACAGCTGAACAGAGCCAGGCACGGCCAGGCTGAGCTGAGAGGGCTGCAGTCTGGCGCGCTCTCTTCCTATTTCCCTGTCGTGCTCCGCTCCACACCACACCAGAATTAGGCATCAGGGAAAATGGAAATGAAAAACAAAAAACCTCCTCCAGCCCTCCATCAGCTTAACTGGGCATCTACAGCTGCTCAGCAGTATAGAAGGATACATTTTACATGTGTAGACCTTGATATACGTACGAAAAATGGCAAGACTGTAGTTTTTAAAAAGTTAGAAATAAATTGTTACTACAGTTTTTAAAAAGTAGATCACTTTAAGAAGAGTGATGACCACCTGTATCCCAACTGCATACAAATAGTTATCATTAATCAAAAGTGTTAAACCAAATTCTATCTGGGCATGTTGTCTTCAAGCACTATGACTGGTAATGCTGGTAATCTGGTCTCCAGGTCTTGTGGATGCTCTTTAATGCTGGATTAGACTTTGTACTGGTTTATAGGATTGAAGCCGCACCTCTGTCCTATAAATCATATTAAATATGTTGCTGTTACAACACACGAAAATCTCATCAAAATTGTATTAAGGCTGAGAAGAGACTGAAAGGCACGGCGGTACAGCTAGGTGAGCTAGCTTTGATAGGATGAATCCACGCTGAATACAGGGCAGATAAATGCTGCCAGACTGCTCTGTTTGCTTTGAAACTTATAAGCATATTGCACATATGGACGGGATCCAATCAGTGACGTCACAGCAGGTCTTTTCACTTTGACAGGTGATGGAAAACTCCTGCCAAATCCACCAAAACAAACAACAATTACCTTTATATAAGAACTGGTTTATACACTGATTCCTTGTTTGGGGGGCAGGTGTAGTGACCAGTCAAGTACATAATGGATCTGAAATGAATGATAATATATATAAGATATTCTCACTTCTCACTATGCAGGAGATGGTCAGCCTATCAGAGGGCAGCACGGTGGATCTGAAGAAGCCTGGAGATGAGATGGATGACTTATCAGAGCTGGCTGAAGAGAGCATGGAGCCGGAGGAATGCTTCCCAGAATGTGAGAATCAAGAATTAAGAGTTGTAACCATAAAACTATGAACATACTGTATGATCAAACCAACATTACTTTACAGTTCCTTCATGTAATCTGTGCTGTTTTGTTTTTTCCTTCCCACTCAGTTTGCTCGAGGCACTGTCAGTGCTGTAACATCGATACCAGCCGCGGTCTGGCTCAGGCCTGGTGGAGACTGAGGAAGACCTGCTACCAGATTGTGGAACACAGCTGGTTTGAGACTTTCATCATCTTCATGATCCTGCTCAGCAGTGGAGCTCTGGTACGGCTACTAGATGTCATTCGAAAAAATAAAATTATTATAAATTCTATTTTTTTAGAAATAAATTTAAAGCACACTTTAAACTCATATAATCGTCATAAATTTCAGCCTTGGCTGATTTGGTGTCACCTGTGGTCCCTGGTGGTAACAGCAAGTGTGCTTTAATACAGCATTTCTCAGAATTTAGGGGCATTACTGAGCAGCTACTTTGTCAGAAATACATCAAAAGAGGAACTGGTGTGTCTGTTTACAGTGCAGCCAAACAAACTCATGGATTGATCGTTCTCCCTTGTGCACAGGTAAATGGTGAGGAATGGTGGACTGTGCCAATAATAATTGGTATATGTATTCTTAGGCACGATGCTGAGCTTGTTGAATAATTATAATGCAAATTTCCTGTATATAAAACTAATGTTTTCTGTATTACAATTATACCTTTAGATAAGTTCTACTGAAATTATATTGCTTTTTGTGTGTTTTTGTCACAGCAAACATATGTGCTCTGTAAATCACTTACCCTGTGTGCACCTTTGACCAAAAATATTCAACCAAAAGGGAGAAATTTATATTAATATTTATTTGTTGGGTTCCTATTCTAGTAATAATCATCAGATTTCCATTAGTTCTCTGTCAATGTCAATCTTTGCTTTATTTGCATCCTATCATATGCAGAGCAGTCGGTCACACTGGCTAATCTTAGCTTATTGAAAGAGCCACCAAACAGACAAAGTGTCTTTGCGTTCCTTGAAAAGCACTCTGTAAATAAAATGTATTATTTTATTATTATTAAACATTCACAGGGGGAAGGTGCACTGCTAACTTCAGTTTGCACTCTAGAGAACAACAATTAGCTGCTCAGTTGCAGCACATTAAACATCATGTAAATGTACCAGCAATCATCACCAATCAGCAATGTCATCTCGGTCCGTTTACATCCTGGCGTAGCCCTTTCTCTTCAATACAGCTTTAAAAAAATAAATAAACAAATAAAAAACTGTACACAATACAAATGTACACTATTTCTGACTGCAATGTCTGATTGTCATTTCCGTTGGAACTGAAAAGCAACACAGAAGTTTCCGGACATACGTGTTGTATTTTCAAACAACAGGTGTGGTGTGGTGTAGTGGTCACACTGCTGTCCCTCTTCTGCTGCAGGCATTTGAAGATATCTACATTGAGAAGAGAAAAGTTGTAAAGGTGGTGCTGGAGTCTGCCGACAAGGTATTCTCCTACATCTTTGTGCTGGAGATGTTCCTCAAGTGGATTGCATACGGCTTCAAGAAGTATTTCACCAACTACTGGTGCTGGCTCGACTTTCTTATCGTGGATGTAAGTGAACATTTTACTGTACCTCGCATGTTTTTATCGCATTACATCAGTGACTCCCGAACCAGGGGTACTTGTGCCCCAGGGGGTAAGTCTGCTGTTGCCAGGGGGCACTTACTAGAAAAAATGTAATTAATGATTCAGTTAAAAAAATACATTGATGTATTGAGTCAGCTATTACAATGAATTCAGATGTTATTGCAAACAAGAAAGCAGAGGAGATGAAATAGTTGTCTCAAAGTAATGGATAAACTGTTGAAACGTCCAGCTTTTGCCACTCTATGTGGTTGTAGTACAAATGCAAACTTGACCAAACCAAACTAAACATTGACAGTTCAATTGAATGACAATATTGTAACATCCATTTTTATATCCTGTCTATAAGATTACTATTTAAATAGCTTCTAGTTTGAGATTAACATAAAGGGTGTTGGTGATAAAGGGGTACTTGGGTTCATCGGGCTGGGCTGTGGGGATACATCTTACATAAATGGTTGCACAACATGAAAGGATGCCTGTCATTTAAAATCACATGTTGAGAATGCAGGTTGAACTGTAATCCCTGAATGTACCTTTTCATGTCTTTGGGATTTAAAGCTTGCTAAGTGTCTCATTATTCATAGGAAAGCACTTAACACTTTTTATGCTTTGCAATAACTAACCACATTCTTGACTGAAATTGTGCTTCCCTTATCATCTGTTACTCCTATTCCATCCAGACATGTATTACGGCATACATACAAATAATGTGTGTCTGGTGTGTTTTTTCCACAAAAACGTATAATTTCCACATTAAAATCCTTAAAAAGCCTTCTACCTACCAATATGCAAATTCTGGTAATTTCTAAATTTCTAAGATGTCTCCTCCTTCACTGTAAGAGGTGTCCATGTCTCAGTGGGGATGTGCACTGGAGGCTTCAGTTATTCTACATCCACACCTTTGTAGAAGTTGCATACTGGACCAGGGTTGACTTCCTAATTAATTGTGATGTCAAAAAAATCATGCTCGTAGGCCCCGCCCCTTAAAATCAGATTTTCAAGGAGCACAGAGAAAAAACATCCTTTAAGTGTCCAGCTCTGCACAGACATCATTCAAACAGTGAAGATCAAACATCCAACTGTAGAAACAAGAAGAAAAACACATTTTTGAGTGGAGGGGGGCTTTAAAACAAACTTCACACAGCTATTTTAGCACAGTTTAATATAAACATACAGATTGCTAAATCACATAGTTGTTTTATTGTACAATTTCACATTTGCTTTTATGCCAGACAAATAAAAAGTGTAAAAAAAAAAGTGCTCCAGTAATTGGAGTCATATGTTACACTTTGTAAGCGTCCTTATGTAAACTGTTGGGCAAAATGGATGTGGCGCTATAGTGTGTAGACATCCAAAGTGCCCGAGGCATGCTGCCTGAGGCCTGTCTTGACCTCCTCTGATTTCACCTGCTGTTACACAGATTGCCACAGATCGCTCTATTGTTAGGGTAAGTTGTAGTTAGCAGGTCCCAGGTGAGTATGGGCTCTGAGATTGGAAACTTGCATCTGCATCACAAATGCTTCTGTGTTTCTTCACTTGTAAGTGCTTTCTGTTGTGATATCAAAAGCCACCGTCTTGTTTCCAAACAAATGCACTTCTTATGAAATGTGCTAAAAAAAATGTTGCGCTATAAAACTACTCAACAGTGATTCTTACTTCAAGACCTTGGCTTTTGTATCAAAAACAAATGCAGTGCCGTGTACTCTAAGGTTTATCTACAGAAGATCTGGTGTTCTTTATACAGCATATTAAACCTTTACAAATGTTGCTTAACAGACATTATTAGTCTCATTGTCAATTTAGAAATGCACCGGTTGAGTTCATGTCTAAACTGTTGTGTCTAATTCATGTACTGAGGGTTACTTTTTACGTCTGTGTAGAAGAAAAGACAAATCCTGTTGATCATTGCAACTACCTACCTTTTGTTTCTCTCTATGAAAAGTACCACCTTACTTTCTTTTACTGTGGTTATGTATTTTTCCGTCTGTACTTTCTTGGAGCCAAAGACTTCTCTTGTCCGAGAATAAACTTTTTTTGAGTATCTTCTTTAGATATATTGGACAAACACATGTGTAAATAGACTTTTATAAAGAAATACAGACCATTGGGGCCTTATTGGTCCTAAATTGTTTTTAATGAACTTATTGGATCAATTGGATGCAAATTTGGGAAACAAATTTGGCAAAGACAGATATAAATTCTTTATAAAACTCACTCTATTTGATATATATACATATTTAATATGCATATATAGCTGAGTATGCATGCATGGACTCAATTTGTCTATATGTGCATACTTGTCTGTGTTTTGTCATCATCAGTCATGACATGAATTTTCTTTCATTTTTTTATCACACCATTTTCATTCATAGCTGTCATCCAAGGGTCATTCAACAGCGGAATACCATTTTGTTTTGTTTTGGATGTAGAATAGAGTGGAAGTTTAAATTTGCTAAAAGATGATACAACAACCAAACTAAATCTCAAAAATTATGTAACCGTGTTCCTAACTGTGGAATGTCCCAAAATACGCAAAAAGTCTAAAATATGGCTCTTCAAATGTTTTCTACCTGTATTTATTAGTATTAGTTTTACCTTTATAAGTAAAATAATTGCTCAGAAACTATACGCAGTTCCTTGACTAATGTGTTGAATATTTATGTGATATTACTTTAAGTGCTTTTCACAATGTTTTTGTTCTTCTTGTATTATCAAAAATATATAACTACTTTCCCCCCAAAGGTTTAAAAGAATTGTATAATTCTCACAGTGTTCATGTCTTTCTGTTCTCCATGTAGGTGTCCTTGATAAGCCTGGTTGCAAATTCACTGGGATATTCTGACTTTGCTGCAATCAAGTCCCTAAGGACCCTGCGGGCTTTGAGACCTCTCAGAGCTCTGTCCAGATTTGAGGGCATGCGGGTGAGAAATACGTTTTACAACAGAGGTTCTGTTGACTAATAACTTGCTGGTTAAACTCAGGATTATTGTACATTAAGTTTGGAGCACGGTTATGGGACTCCACTGTTTCAGCCTTGGTCTATCTCAAAAACTATTATGTATTGCCATGAAATTTTGTACAAACATTCATGGTACATGATAAATCCCATTGACTCTGGGGATCAGATAAATTTGTCTAAGACTTTGGTTTATGACCCAATGCCTGCAAACAGTAAAGTATTGAAATTCCTTTTAGTCGGTACTTTGTGGTTAGTGCTAATTAGCAAATATTAGCATGCTAATACGCTAAACTAAGATGGTGAAGATTGCACCTCCTGAATGGCAGCATGTTAGCATTGTGAACATGTTAGCATGCTGAAGTTAGGATTGAGATAGAAGCATCACTATGCCTGAGTGCTGCATCATCAGTGTTTGGATAGTTACTCAATTTTTACTCTTACTCTTTTCAGAAGTTATGTTATTACTTTACTTCTTACTCCCTGCCAACAGTTATTAGTTACACTCCTTGTTAGACTATATTACTTTTCTGCTACTCCCCACAAAATTGGTAATTGTGACCCTTCTCCCCAAAATCCAGACTTACAACGCTTAAAACCCAGTTTTGTTTATTAAAAAAAAGAAGTAATGGAATATTTCCAGCTGCTGAATGTAAGCGTTTCCATCTTCCAAACTAGTTAGTTTCCTCCACGATTACAAAAAATAATCCAAGGATTTGATTGGATTGTTGGATTATTACCAACCAAAGAAAAGTTGTAACTAATTATTTTTTGGGAGGGTAACTGTAATATAATTGCTGAAATTCATTAGTAATTAGTCGCACTACTAGTTACTGGGAAAAGTAATATTATTACTAATAATGAGTTACTGCCCTACACTGTGCATCACAGACCTGCCAGCATAGCTGCAGACTTGTTAATCATAACTATGAAACTTACATACATGCGTCTACTGCAAATCATACAGGCATGTTTCCACTTAATTAGATTTAGACCAGTGTGTAGGATTTAGTGGCACCCAGCAGTGAAGTTGCAGACTGCAACAAATTGAATACCACTCCAAGCATGTAGGAGAAACTACGGTAGCCATGAAAAACGCAAAAGGAGCCAGTGTTTGGTTTGTACTTTCTGGGCTACTGTTGAAACTCTGTAGAAGAGGATTTGCTCCATCTGTAAATAAAAACGACTGAGACACATAATCAGGTGATTATACATAATGAAAACATAACTATAAATATTATATTCCATTTCTGCCAATAGTTCATCCTGTTACACACTAAACCTTTAATATAGATTTCTTTAGGAAGGATTAGAAAAGTTACATGAGTTACATTTTAACTTGAATGCAATAAGTCAACACAAACATACACAAAATTGTATACCTAAATTAGTCAAGTATCAGATCATGAGCTAAATAACAACTAGCTTCATAATCAGACTGAAAGAGATCTAACACCAGGCTAACCTCAGTGCGGTGAGACTAACTTGTATCTTATCTGTTTGTCATCAGGTGGTTGTGAACGCTCTTATAGGAGCTATCCCCTCCATTATGAACGTGCTGCTCGTGTGTCTCATCTTCTGGCTCATCTTCAGCATCATGGGGGTCAACTTGTTCGCCGGCAAGTTTGGAAAGTGTGTGAACAGAACAGGCTTCATCCACAATGTCTCTGCAGTCAACAACAAGTCAGAGTGCCTCGGTATGAATGACACGCAGTTCTACTGGACTAAAGTGAAGGTCAACTTCGATAACGTGGGACTTGGCTACCTTTCCCTTTTGCAAGTGGTGAGTTTTGTCTGCCACCCTGTTAGAGTCAAATTTGTCAAACACACTTTCATTTTAGGAATGTGCAATTAATGTGATCTTAATATTAATTGTCATCTTTTTCTATAGATAAAGTTGATAATTCACAAAACAATGCAGTGCTCAGACAGTAATGTTGTGTAATATTGCATTGTATTTATAGGCTACATTTAAAGGATGGATGGAAATAATGCATGCAGCTGTTGATTCAAGAGGAGTAAGTATGTCTACCTACTTCCAGGGCCTATATCATGAACATGCAACCAGCTGACATATAAAAACTGTTTGCTTTCAGGTGGAAGAACAACCCATCAGAGAAATCAACCTCTACATGTACCTGTACTTTGTCGTTTTCATCATATTCGGCTCCTTCTTCACCCTGAATCTCTTCATCGGTGTAATTATTGACAATTTCAATCAGCAGAAAAGAAAGATGAGTATTCACAACACAAGTAATTCTGTACCTGTACAAGATGGATGCAATTCAGTGGCTACTACAAATACACAGACATGCCTTTAAAATATTTTACGTATTTCATTCTCCAGGGAAAAATTTAATATGAGGAATTTGTGAAAATACTAACTTACTAACTGAATAATGTGTAAGCATCCTCTAAAAATAATGCTAGGTGCTTTTGCCTTTACTTAGGTGGACAGGATATCTTCATGACTGAAGAACAGAAGAAGTACTACAACGCTATGAAGAAGTTAGGATCTAAAAAGCCCCAAAAACCAATACCAAGGCCTGCGGTACAATAATATTTTTATAACATCCTTTCATACATATTTACATATTTTTCATATATATACTTTTTCTTATATATTTGATGTTGTATTTATAACCCTTAACCTTGCATCCTGCCCGCTAATATTCTTGATAATATTGTACTAATGATGAGGTCCAAGATAATTTGTACAAGGATGCATAATGAAATGAAATTTCCTTCATGCTACGCACACATAAAACATAAGATAATTAAATTTTGATTTAAGAAATTATATATAAGACGAATCAAAGTTAAATTAAAATAAAACAATATACACAATTATTTATATGCATATACCTATACACCCAAGAAATAACAATGTCACTGATTTGCCATTTGTATTTCCCAATCGTAGAACATTCTCCAAGCCTTCTTCTTCGATCTCGTGTCCAAGCAAGCCTTTGACATCATGATCATGATGCTCATCATTGTCAACATGGTGACCATGATGGTGGAAACCGATGAGCAGTCAGAGCGCATGGAGTCCATTCTCAACAAGATTAACCTGGTCTTCATTGTGATCTTTACCACTGAATGCCTGATCAAGATCATTGCTCTCCGTTGTTATTTCTTCACAGTTGCATGGAACATCTTTGATTTTGTGGTTATAATTCTCTCGATTATAGGTAAGTAGAGACACACTGCAAAGAAGAGATAACTCATTAAATATTACTGCTGCCAAGGGGATTATACTTGTGTTGTTATATTACTTTCAGTACCACTGGTTTACCTGTTGTTTGTTAGCAGAATATCTTGTCAACATTATGAGACAGGAGATATTAATTTGTATCTTTTATCTAGGCCTACTGTACATTCTACTGTACATATTGATATCATATAAAACACACTAAAAAGTTACATAGAACTGAAGGGACCTGCAGAGTCAGGTGAACATTTGTTGTCACTACCTCTGTCATTTGATACATTGTTAAAGGTGCGCTAAGCGATTCTGAGAAATTCCCTGTAGTTGTCAAATAATGATGCTTTAGGCTGGTGCCACAAACCTCTTTCACCCCTTTTTCCTTGAAAACTGGTTCGCAGTACCAACTCTTCGCTGGTCTAAAACCAAGAACAACCACTTACAACAAGGGCTGGGGCTGCCTTGTGGCCAGGCAGTTATGTATTTATTAGCTGTTTAGCACATAGATGTCACAAACATAAGCTGGCTAGCTAGCTAGCTATTGGTCAGCTAACATTACCCGAGCAAGCATAGCTACTAATAACTCGCATCAATGTTCGTAACATTGTTCATAACTTTAATGTTACCTTTGAGTCTAATAACACTGATGTGATACGTGTTATTTAACAGCTAGCTACTTAGACAGCTAGCATAACATTGGTTACAAATGGTAGCATACGTATACAATGACATAACTCTTTGGTGGCTCTCTAGCCTGTGGAAAAATAAACCAGTTTTTAAAACATTGTAGTTGGACCAACTCTGAACCGCCATTATCACCAGCTCAGAACTAGCATAGTTCACGGTGGTGGATAAGGGGTATTGGTGGAGTTCTCTCTCCTGATTGGATAAAGTGGGAACGTGATGCCAGAAAATGTATTTTCTGTTTACTGCAGAAAGGAGTGATTGGGCGATCCATGTTATTTACTGAACTCTCTACACCAGTGACGGCCTTCAGAATGGAGAGCTGTTTAACACTTATTTAAAATCTTGCTTACAGCTCCTTTAATGTAAAGATTTTAATCATTTGCGTCATTGTGCAATGAGACTAACCTTGCCTTGTCTTTTTCTGTCCTTTCAGGGATTGTTCTTGCAGACATCATTGAGAAGTACTTTGTGTCTCCGACCCTGTTTCGAGTCATCAGACTGGCAAGGATAGGACGTGTACTTAGACTAATACGTGCAGCCAAAGGAATAAGGACTCTACTGTTTGCCTTAATGATGTCCATGCCAGCACTGTTCAACATTGGCCTCCTGCTTTTCCTCGTCATGTTCATCTATGCTATCTTCGGTATGGCAAACTTTGCCTATGTGAAAAAACAAGATGGGGTTGACGACATGTTTAACTTTGAGACCTTTGGGAATAGTATGATCTGCCTTTTTCAGATCAGCACCTCGGCCGGTTGGGACAACCTCCTGAGTCCTATAATGTCCAGCCCCCCAGAAGAGTGCGACAGTAACTTCGTCAATACTGGCACTAACACCCGGGGAAACTGTGGCAGCCCCTCAGTCGGCATAGCTTTCTTTGTCAGTTACATAATCATTTCTTTCCTCATTGTGGTAAATATGTATATAGCTATCATTCTGGAGAACTTCAGCGTTGCCACAGAGGAGAGTACAGAGCCACTGAGCGAGGATGACTTTGAAATGTTTTATGAGGTTTGGGAGAAGTTTGATTATGAGGCCACACAGTTCATTGAGTTTTCCATGCTGTCAGTCTTTGCTGACACTTTGTCGGAGCCGCTGCGCATAGCTAAGCCCAACAGGATCAAGCTGATCTCCATGGACCTTCCCATGGTCAGCGGCGATAGGATCCACTGCCTGGACATCCTCTTTGCCTTCACAAAGCGTGTCCTGGGTGAGTCGGGTGAGATGGATGCCCTCAAGCAGCAAATGGAGGAGAAGTTCATGATGACCAACCCATCCAAGATTTCCCACGAGCCCATCACTTCCACACTGCGCCGCAAACTGGAGGAGGTGTCCGCAATCATCATCCAGAGGTGTTACAGGAGGCACCTGGTGCGCCGGCAAATGAAGCAGGCATCCTACCTCTACAGACAGATAAACTTTGAGACTGTTGTGGATGTGGAGAATGCTCCAGAAAGGGAGGGCCTGATAGCCACCATGATACAGCACTATAGACCTGTGGGGATGGAGGTTGTACAGACAACAGAGGACACTCTAATGTCCTCACCACCATCGTATGAAAGTGTGACCAGGGCAGTCAGTGACCTCTCTGAGGTCGTCAGATCAATATCCAGAGACTCTGAACTTGGTGAGCCTGGTGAAAACTATGAAGAAACTTTTCTTTGAGACTCGATTGTGTGGAGAGTGTTTGTGTGGTTTTTGTCTGTTTTGTTTACAGAGAGATGAACTTTTTTATATATATTAGCAGATGCCGAGGAAATATGCAATATTTGAAGTAACTCACAGCCTCTGTTTAAATTCACCATCCAGAAGTCAGTTTTGTTACACAGACTCCATGAGAAGAGGAGGACTCTGAAGTTTAACTTGTCCTCTTAAAAATTAACATCTGGCAGATAGTTTATAACATCAAGATAAAAAAAAAATATGTTTTTATTATACAAATAATAAACATGGGCTAAGATGTGTTACCTATATTCAATCAAAGCACCACATAATCTGCAGTTCTTTTTCAAATATATCAGTAAACACTTAATATCAATATTAAATTCTTATTTAGGATTTTCACAAACTTGCAGTGCAATATCTGTTTATATTTTGACATCATACAACTGTACACAACAAACACTTGCAAAGTGACTGAATGGTCTAATTGGACCTATGATATTTTGCCACTCCTAGAAATGTTGATTGTTGTTAGCTGAATAGCTAGCTAGAAGGCTAGCAAATTAGCTACATTCTCAGAAATTATTTTACTACAGTTGACATTCGTTTAATTGTTGCAAAACCTCCTCAGGACTTGTACAGTGAAATTTGTATTAGCAAAAATTACCATAAGGACGAGAGAGACACTAAAGGGACAAATAACAACACCTAATTGATCAAGACAACAGAAGGGGATACCTGCTACATGGTAGCCGGCAAAACAGAACAAAAGAAATAAAGACATTTATAAAGTTCTCTAAAATAATTATTGTCATTGGCAAAAGTAACCAACAAAGTAAAGTAGCTGACAGAAAACAAATTTAACATCAGCAACATTTCTCCCAGAAAACAAAATTTGAGAGTTTATAATGTATATTACTGATTTGTGTTTGTGACAGAAAATTATTTGTGAAAAAATATGTTTGGGAACATGTTCTGCAGGTTTTTTACATTTTCTGCAAATACAAATTCCTTTGTACACGTCCAGATGTTTTAATACTGATACAAACTACACATGTTAAATGCTCAGAGGTTTTGGTTCACCAACATATTTTAACCATAAAGCAACAGACCAGCAAACTAAAAGCAAATTGAGAATATTGAACATATTGTGGAGTGATTTTGCACTCATGACTGTAGCTGCAATGAAGCTATTTAACAGGTGTTACAAAAATTATTTTAACCAAAGCTAACACTTGCTCATAAAATGTTCCTTTTTAAATTTTAACATTTTACATTTTAAGACAAAATATATTAAACTAATTTTAAGCCAAAAGCATGCATTAATAACATTTATCTAATGTTTGGGATTTATTTATTTATTTATGAGTTGTGTGTTCAATAAAATTGTTCCCTCATATGCACTTTTATTAAATGCAGTTACTTTATACTGTATGCAATGGTAAAAATATGGCCCTTGTTTAAAAAAGCATCCAGTGTTCTCAGGTTGTGACACAAAGTCATAAAGAAAAGCACAATTTCTTATAATCTTATTCAGTATATACTAATATTAACATGAACAAATGTGTTTCTTATGTGAAAAACAAACTAATTTCTAATTATTAGCACATAACAAGTTTAACTTATATTGATTACAAAGAAGAGCTGTGTGTCCTAATAATCCCTGAATTATGTGCCTGATTTTCACTGTTGTCCGCACACGTCTCTGAATCTCTTTAGACCATTTAATTTGATCTGATGGATGTGGATTGGAAGAGCATGAATGCACTGAAAGCTCATTTTGTAATTAACTGTGTAAAGAACTTTGAGGCTGTGTAAAGTATGTAAAGCTCATTTTTACCTATTTTTTGTAATGTATTTATATTGAAAGACCATTTCAGTGACTCTTATGACGGCCATAACAAGATACGATCAAATTATATAAATATACTGTGTTCATTTTTATATAAAAGACTTTCCTTGAGAACTTGACTGTCTGTATTGCATTTAGGTTGATCATTTCATGGATTGTTTTATGAAATGGTAATAAAACTCCGTTCCATATTTTTTGATTTTCCAACTCTCAGTACAGTTCAAATAGTTGGATGAAACATGTTTTTTTTAACACGTTGCCATTTACTTATTTTAACATTTACAGATATGGATTTAAATATATACCTTGCTGTACTAAAAGTAAAATTCTAAATAGTGTGTTTCCATCTTCACATGTAGAACCAGTTAGCTGTTTTGACCTCATTACAAGGCAGGGTGCAGTTAAATCTCTCCATGTGAGTCCATGTGTGTAAAAAAAAAACAGGACAGATGTGCAAACCTCTGCATCTCCACGGCTGTCTGTCTCTGTGAGTGTATTGCCCTTTAAAGCTTGAATTTGTTTATAATGCCTCCACAAATGCAGTACAATCACATAAAACCCCTCAACAATGTAGCCGAAATGGTCCATGCTGATTAATGATTTCATCTATTCATTGAATAAATACTACACAGTAATGCTGCTGCGTGTTTAACCACCAAAAAAATCTACTGGAAATATCAAGTAATTAATAGTGCACAGCCATAAAAATTAATAAAACCAAAGAAACTGGAATCTTTTTTTTTTTGGCATTTGTGTGTATTTTCTATCTCTAGCCCACAGATCTGCCTTCTTCAGGATCAGTGGGTTGTATTGCAAACATGTTTGTTATGTTTAGATTTCAGTGACAAATTCAAGTTAATAGTTGAGCACTGCCACATTTTCACTTTGGAAAAAAATCATCAAGGGTGCCAATTTGGATTTAGCCCCAAAGAGATTTCCTCTCTCTGGTTGTCGGGGTGGTCAAATCCAACTCTGACCAGCTGGGATAGAGGGATAATCTGTGTGTAAAAAAAAAATCACTTGTTTTAATTACACACTCACACACACACAAATGCACGCACTCTCTCTCTCTTTCTCTCTCTCTCTCTCTCTCTTTCACACACATATGTACAGTAAACATGTGGACATACATGCATTAACACAACTACCACACACACACACACTATACTTTTGCCATCCATCCCCGTAATAGACAGATGCTTACTTTGAATTTAATTTTGGTCTGTGTATGAAGTGCCAGAAAAATGTGACTTGACTGAATGTGACTTGGTAATTGATCTGATTTTTAAGCGTTTGGACATGTGGCAGAGATTAAAGCTTCATCAGAGAGAGCAAACATTTTTAAAAAGATTAAAGAGGCACTATGTCTAATTACAAAATGCACCAGCACACAGTAAAACACAGCAATGTCAAGGTAATGCATTACAAAATGTCTGCATATAATGTGGACATGCTAAACTCTAATACAAAAGACATTTGATGAATTGCGTGTTCTATGTGTGCCATTTATTCAAATGTCATTTAGTTAAATGAAGGTCACGAGTAACATCGAGTCTCATCGTCATCAGCCAGAGGTCAGTAAGAATGTCAACATGATCTGTGTGTCTTTAAATCTGTCCATTGCTGGAGTGAACTAAACATGTGAGATATATT